AGCTCAAGATCCAATCAGAATCTTCTGGTTAGTGGAAGACCAGCTCTAATTCTTGAACCATATTGTATGCATTACTATACAACAGGAAAATAAGCATATTTCATTGAACTGTCTTGCATAATTTTCTAGTTTTGACAAAACTTTGGCTGGACAATGAAGATAGAGCACAGCAGGAAAAAAATCCTGCTAGCAGCCCCTTACGGGCCATCTGCCTGACGCATTACTATAGGAGACAATAGTGTTTTTTAAAACCAGCCAACAAATATTTCCATTCACTGGAAAGCAGGGCTTTGGTCCTGCTTAACCCAAGGTAAGCAGAGTGGCAGGGGAAGTGCTGTACTGATTAGAGGAAAATTTATCATCTGCATTTTAAGCCAAGAAGCCTTGGGCCATAATTTTTCTAGCAAGGATACATAACAACTGTTAATGCAGAGCATGGCAGCAGAAAATGCATTACATACATAAACAACATGAAAGTCCCAGATGACATCATGGATTGTTTTTGGGTCCATATTGCTGCATAGCAGGTAGAAAATATGTAGTATGCACTATAGAAATATCTACAATATTTAAATACAGAACACAGCAGATCTTCAGAATATTGGGATCTTTTTTGACCATTTTTGTGAAATATCAGAGATTAAGTGGTAACTTTAAAAAAAATCTGAATGTAACTTGAATACATTTGAAGTAAGACAACACAGAAGTGTGATCCAGTCAATCTCAAGCAGCTGTTAAAACTGTGCCTGAAGAGAGATCCATCACCAGTTTATTCAAAAAAATGAGCCGCTTTCAGAATTCCTGCTAATGTCCATCCATTTCTCCTAGTCAAATGGACTCTGGAGAAGTGACTGATTTTACACCGAACTCAATAATCCACAGCCTGTGCAGTGCAAGCAGTGGAGTTCCACTGTGCGCATGTTAACACCATTAAATCACCTCAAATGTCTGCATGATTCAATTTTTTTCACAGTGTCCGACAACCGAATTGAATTTCTCCAAAGTGGCTGTCCATTTCCTGTCTGTGTGACGAGTGGCTATCGTTGCCAGGGATTTCAGAACCATTCTCCCATTTGCTTAACTTCCAGATCACATTTTGAGCAAAGTGCGCAGCTACCCATTTTCCAAAAATAAAAATGAACTGGGGAAAAAAAAAAGTTAAATGAGAATGAGACAAACATACAGTTTGTAGAAAGTGATTTTAAATTCGGTGAGGTTTTGTTTCTTTTATTTCTAATCAACTGCATGTGGTTATGTGACAGAGATAGGGTTCTTTCTTTGTTTTTGTGCGTGTGTGTGTGTAAAGCTGTATCCACAAAAAAACCATATTCACTGTCTAAATTTTGGAATTGCAGCCAGATGAGGCCCTGGCCTTGTACAAGCCTGTCACTGGCACTCTATAGCACAGCGGCTCTTAGTGGCCGTGACTCCATGACCTGCTTTCCCGTTCATCATGAATAGCTGCTGGCACCTCTCTTCAGCCTGTCTACTAGATGAGGAGCAAGTTTAAAGAGATACACCATTTTTTCAGTACCATTACATTTTTGCCTTGATTATGTTATTATACTATATGCTGTGTCCACACGGTTCTGCACAGTTTGACAATGCCCTCCGGGTCAGGTATAAGAATAACAAAAAGTAGTCTCCTTCTGTGTTCCTCAAGACTGTTTGTACTACTCTCCATGCAAATGCTCAGCTGCAAGAAGCGCAGAGAAAGTTCAGAAGCATTGTTGAGCATTTACGAAGAACTGACTCAGTTTGGCGTTCTCTGTTAATGGCTAAAACCTCTGAAAACAAAAGACATCGTTTATTTTCAATTGGGTTTATGAAGGCTCAAAAATTTCTCGCCAAAGATTTGAATTCTGCTATAACAGTTTTCCCTTAAAAATATGAGACGTCTAATCAACTCTAAGACAAAAAACCATTTCTTTGTGAGTGCAGCTGTAGATGGGCTGAGGAAGACAATGTTCACGTGGGCTGGGGAACACTGATTCCCTCTGACAGACTGGGCCTGTTTGCTACCTGCTTAATCCCCAGCATTTTAAAACGTTGTTTGGAATAAACGGACTAAAGGGAATAGAGTACCTAAGAGCTCAAGAAATTGAGAGCTCCACAGGCTTGATTGGCAGGTCTTGTCGGCGAGTCTCTTCCAGTAAGAGGCACCTGCCTCTGCTCTAGTGGGATCCCTGCCTCCAAAGTGAAGCGCAAAGGCATTGTCTTAATTATTCCCCAACCCCACGCCCCCACACCAGCGCATCTCAACAAGGAGGGGGGAAAAAAAACACAATTAACGGTAAGCATTTAGGGGAGAGAGATTATTTACTGGGGCCCATCCAGTGGAGGCAGACGCTCAGTGGTCCTGAGAGACAAACATGTCCATCAGCCTGGGGAAGCCTTGCAATCCAATTAAAGTAGAAGTCTTTCAGGCGGTCAGTGCTAGCTGATGGTGTTCATCATCCACCGGTGACATTGCTTGAATAATTTCTCATTTTAGTCCCTTACTAGCAAAACATTTCTTTTTTGGAATAATAACTGCAAAATATTCAACAACATGAGATGTTTGTATGAAGAACAGAAGACCAACCCGCAGCAGAGAAACACAGAAATCACGCTTGCTTATTCATAAAGTGTTGTTCAAGTAGTGATCTTTGGAGCCCAACACAATGGAGTCAATAGGAAGATCATTAGCCATCTATATGGAAAAATTAATAAGTGTTAGTGGATTGAACAAGGGAATTCTTATGGAGACAACAATAAGAATGCAAGCATGTGACGGCAGGAAGATTCCTGTGTGCACTATGTGGACTTTACTACAGTCGCCCAGGCTGAGGAAAAAAAGGAAAGGAGGAAAAAAAGATTGCTGCAATTCAAAGAGCATGACTTTACTTGGAGAGGCAAACCAAATGAGAGTCTGGGCCTTGGGTCTGGGGTCAGCTAGCAGGTGGGAATGAGGTGAACCAGAGCGGGGGAAAAAACAGGATGGCAGAGTGGGGACGTCACATCTGGGCTGAATTAGGAAAGTAATACGGCGGGCCCAGGAAAGTGTTTGAGGATCTGGCAGATCTCCTTTCCCTAAGAACAGCAGGTTAGTATGTCAGCAGGGAGTCCAGATGAGAACGATTAGAGGTGGCCTTTGAGGAGCAGGTGCCTCTTCTACCTCTGCTGCTTAGCACTGAATGCACGGTCATTAATCTTACATTGTCATAAGGCATTTAAGCAGATGATACTTTATGAGCTTGTCAAATTCCGCCTTGTATGTGGTTTGTTTTAAATGCATAATTTCTTATGCATGGACCATTATGGAGCAGCACTCGGTTACATTCAACAAGCACTGGAATTAAAGCTAGAATCTTCTGCTGCAGTGTAATGGAAGAAAGAAGAAAACAGGGCATCTTAATCATTGTAAGTGGATTACCTCACCTAACATTACATCATAGCTGATTTGGTGAACAAATTATTTGACAATATCGCAATTTAAAATCAAGTGGCTCGCAGCTTCACTACTGCATGACCAGTTGCTGCCAACTGCTGTATTAAAATGGAGATACAGCCACTGGCAAAATCCTGTAAGAAGCCAAGAGTAACAACAGTGTCTCCTTAATAGTCTCATAATTTCCCCTATGGCTCTATCATGCTCACTGTCTCACTCTGCTCCGCCACCCCGCCTTGCTCTGTATACCAGGGATAGACACATTTGAGAATTGATTCAGCGCTACATTAAGTAATCTAGTAATCATTTACAGCAATAGTTTTGGGGTTTTCTTTGAGAAACAGAAGCATATTAAACAGGCATTGGTGTCACTACGAGGAGAATGGAGCGGTTTCCATGCAATGTGAGTGCTATCTGACTCGGACGGCCCGCGTTGGGGTTTTTGCTCTCCTTTACGACCTCAAGCTGTACAGTGAAGTGGAAGAGCGTCTTTTTCATGGTACAATTTTCACCCCATTTCTTTGCATTTCATTGTTATCCCTATCTCCAAAACAATTCAGTCATGCGGCTCTATGCAAAAGAGCAAAGCATGCATCTGCTCACAGAACAAGTGGAAAGAGAGCAGCTGTGGACACAGACCGCAGCATGAGAACTACAGTGTAGCTGTGTTTGTCAACATGAAAGGCTCGAGACCAAAAAAAACCCCCCAACCTGTTTTACAGTTTTACATCAGCAGAGAAACATTTTGTTATTCGTTTTATGATTGTGGGCATTTTTGGTACATTCAGGCTCGCTTGAGCATTGAGATGGTGATGTAAGTAGTGATGCTGGGGAGCCGGATTAGCTGGTTGTCATACTTTGCCGTTTTTGTTAGTTTTTGTTTAAAAGGGATTTCAAAACGCGGCTTTCTGTAGTGCTCATGAAACCTGAAGTGCTTTAATAGGAGTTCTGTGGTCTGTAGCTGTGAGCGATCTGAAACATGGACAAAGACGGGGAGATGGAAGAGAAATCTAAGCCAGAGGCAGTCTAGTTTGAACAGCTATACAGACTCGCCTTAAGTGCACCGGGCAGATTTTGGGGTGTAAAAGAATGAAAGCGGTAATTCTCACCTGGCGCTGGTTTTTGTTATAGAAACAAAAAGGTTGCTTTTTTTTTTCTTTGCAGAAAATTTAAGAAAGTTTTTGTTATTCTACTGGAAGCACTTGTTAGCAAAATCGAACGATAACAATGAACAATTATGAATGAACAGTACTTTCAACTGTAATTGAAATTGTGTAATGCCCTTCAAAATGACAATTCCAGTTGTTGTTGTTGTTGTTCAGGACATTTTTAAAGGAAGAAAAACAAATTTTTGAAAACCACTTTTTCATCCGCTTCAACTAGTGCCTGAGTGAAGTGCTGTCTTCTCCCCTCGCATAGGTTTCAGATGGAGGTGTGGGTGGTTGCAGATCAGTAATGATTTACAAATAATAAGTGGTGGAATGAACAAATCAATAAATCAGTAGATCTCTGGATATTTGTGAGGCAACCTTATTTTTTATATTTATCTGGGTCTTTTATTTGTTTTCAGCTCTCCAAGGCAGGAGCAGGAATCCCAAATTATCCAGGGGGTTAGGGGGCGCAGTGCCCCTGAGCCCCGAGCCCCATAGCAGAGGTAACGTATTCAATGGCCTGGGGCGAGTGGAGGAGAGGAGCGGCCCTGCTGCATACTGATGGCAGGGAGAGAAGCCAGTAATTGGAGCTGCAGAGGAGAGGGGAGAGGGGGGCAAGCACTGGGAGATGATGGCTTTGTTTTCTCTCTTCCTGTCTGTGCTGCTCAAACTCCTCCTCCCAGGCCTCGCTCTCCCTCACACTCACTAAGTAGAGATATGGAGAAATTGAATAGAGATACTTGCTAATTGGTCTCTTGCTGCTTGCTTAAAGGACCATAGACATTCTTTTTCATTTGCCTATTGAAACTAATAAACTACATCTGTCCGTGTGTGTCTCTGTGTGTGCGCCTGCGTATGTGCGTGCGTGTGTGCAGTTATTCAAGGATTACATGAAGCGCTGTGTTGTTCTAACAGGGAGGAAAAGAGGAAAATGTGAGGCATTGCTAATACAGTAGATTTAAAAATGGTTGTTATTGTTATTAAGACTGAAAGGAGAAGCCGTGCTCACCAAAATGAAAAAGAAATCTCAGACTAACCTATTTGTAATACCCTATCAAAGCTTGACGAGTTCATTTACTGCTTTATTTCACTCCACTGCCGTAGAACATATGCACTGCGTTCATGAAAGCCAATTTAAACCCTGTGCTGCCTGATATGATGTAAATTGGTAAATACTATCCTAATCAGAGCACATCACAGTTAATTAAGAAAATTACTTTGACAAACGGTTTGAGACTGGTGTAGGAGCTCAAGCCAATCAGGCTCATTCCTTATGGTGGTGCTCCCTCATGTGGGTAGGGAACGGTGAGAGTGCTGTTACATACATTGTCGAACATCGCTATCAAATCGGCCAGGAGAGAAGCGGATGCTTTTGGCGAAGTAAGTCCCACAGCACCGTCTGTTGACATTGTGAAGTGGTATGATATATGCAGGCAAATTAACTAAAAAAGAAATAATAATTTTTTAAAAATGGAGAAGAAGTTTGTTGTGGCGACATGTTCGAGTCAGCCCTGCTGGCCAGTTGGCCCTTAAACAGGTTGAAGTCCACAGGTCACAAGAAGGACACAAGCAAAGTGAAGCTCTCATTTCCTGTCAAAAGCAGCGCAGACAGATTCTTTCCAAGGCATCAGTCGCAGGCTAATTGGGCCCCGGTGGGTGACACTGCAGCATCATAAATAAAACAAACACAGTTGTGGTGTTTCTGCCACTGGACTCTTTAAACCTTCATCACAGAATAAGCGGTTCTGATGAAACACCCAGCCTAATTACTCTGGTACAGAGCTGTTATCTTTTCTGCCTCGTGTAATTGATCCTCTTTTTTTTTTTTTTTTTTTTCCTGAATGCATTTATGTTTTTAATCAGAAATGAGAGCATGCATTGCCTGAGAGCTTGAAGACCTTGTAGGAGCCGATAATTAGCTGCTGTGGTTAATGGGCCTAACTGTGCTTGTGTGCTACATGACTCTACGGTGTCATAATGTGGCAGAGCTCAGAGGAGACAGTGCTCAGGGGTGATGCACGTGTGATTAGTCTCCTCACTTCACCAAAGCCCTTTTCACACCTTCACTTTGCAGTCAGAACCACGAACCTCTGGTGTAGAAAATTACATATCTTTAACTGCACTCACTAATCAAATGTGCTCTCTGTGAACCTCTGACTGATCCATGACCAGTGTTGGGTTTTAATAGTTTTTTTTTGTTCTCTGAAAAAAGGACTAAAATACTGAAACACACAAGTCTTGTACTTTCAAAGTGTTACGACTCAGCACGGCAGAATGTAATGTGCTCCCTTTAATATGTGTGTTGCGTTCATGTGTTTGTATAGCAGCATGTGTGCTAATTTAGATAAATATACAGCTTGCCCTGGGCCATGAATTAGAAAGCAGGCTAATATTGATATACTTTGAATCTCTTGCTTCTTTTAAATTCACAATGAATCAAAATACATCAGCTGCCCACCTGGCATATTGTGTGTTCTTCATTCTGCTCGGTGTCCTGATGATTTCACTTTGTTATTCAGCCAGTGGCTCCTTCCTTGGGACCATATATTCATATTCATTCTGAACCTATAGAATGTGTCAAATAGAGGTGTCCTAATTGTGTCCTTGATGAAAGGCTATTAATATTGAACATTTTCACGTTCACCCGTGTACCAGTGCTGAGGAAATGTGTTTTTCCCCCTGTTTTTTTTTTTTCTTTCTCCAAGACAAAAAAACAGATCTGTTCATATCTCTAATGATACCTGATTCCCCAGGGGTTAGCGGCGAGACTAGCGGTGGCTTGAGCAGATTCATCAAACAAAATATGGTGCTCTTTCCTCAGGAGGCTGAGAGTCACATTGCGTTATATCACTGTTAATTAGAACGAAATATGCAGTTCAATTATTCTTTGTATTGTTTCCTGACGCGCGGGCTTGTGCTAACTATAGAGCACTGATGTAACACCAAATGTTAGAAAGCTTAACACTTATTTCCGCTCATTTTTTTTCTTTTAACAAAACTGCAGTGCTGCTTTTTTTTTTCTCACACACACACTTCCATTCCATTTTTCAGCATAACAAAGTGACCCCATAACTATTCCAAACAGTGACTGTAAAACCAAAGCGTTTATTGTGTGAAAATTCTTGTAGCTCTTCTAAGCAGTGCTGTCATGATACTGGCAGCAACTGGCCTGATCGGCTGGGTAGCCGGGTGGCTCACTTGACATTGTTTTTTGAAGCAGGCACTGGCTGTCCTGTGACCAGTGTCAGTATAGCACAACCTCTGATCCAGGAACAGCAACTGTCAGGCCCGCACCTGTACGGCACTGAGACCTTGTGTCCCCCTCCACGTCCACAACGCAAGGTTGTGCTTAGACATGCTTTGCATCTCATCGGCACTCATTGGCCCAAGCAATGCTCTCGAGACTGCCCATGATCCCAGCTGTTGTCTTCATTTTAATGCACTCTGAATAATATTAAAGCAGAATCAGTTGAATTTATTAATGCAGCTCGCCCCTTGGAGAGATGCTTTTAAAGGCCAATGATTTAATTTCAGCTCTTAAAGGCCATCTTCAGTTCTTGATGCTATAAAGAATTATGGCTTTTGCCATCTCTTAACACCAGCGTGTACTGTGGGCCACAAAATGAATTATTAGTAAACTGGAGCTAGTGCAAACAGCTGCTATTAGCGACCATTTTTCTCTCTGTTGTTATCTCACTTACATTGCCGCCCGTATTCCCAGAGACGACATCAGTCCTGGTTACTATAATTTATGTCTTTCATCAGGAGAGACTAAAGAAATGTGCCAGCTAGTTAAGGCGCAATCTGGAGGAAAACAGCTCAAGGTGGCTACAGCATCATTTTAAAAACTCCCAATGCAGTTTCATGTAGACGTGTTAATATACACTGGGCTAAACAGTCGCTAACTGTATTAACATCAGTATGTTCTGCGTTGTGTTTTACAACTGAGCTGATGCACAACAGGTCATGTTTCATTTGGTGCATTGGCGTGTTCTGTTTAGAGGCAAATCGTAACCTCTGCCGTAATAATTTAGGCCATTTGGGAATTGCAGAGCAGCCAGTGATCTCCAGTGATGATCTGCTTCTCCGGTGGTACAAAGAGACCAAATAACACATGCACAAGCGCTTTAACACATGCAAGTCAACGGAGAGCGCTGCTTTTGTTGGTTTTTCCTCCCGTGCGCATTATGTCTGTCAGAGGGGAGGTCAGAGAACCTTAACAGCATTGTAACAGTAACAATTACTAAGGATTTGTTGAGAACACTGGCTTATTTAAATGAGTTTTGTGTTCTGTTTTGTTTTTTTCCTCTATGCATCTCCTTGTAAAGCAACACAGAACTGCGACAAAGGGTGCAGTGTTCGCTCTCCCTCTCTGCACTTGGTAGTTTGACGCCCGCTCCAGGGCTGAACATCAGAAGAGCGGCTGCTGAAAAAACAGGTTGTATGGGTCCTTGCACACAGCCTGCCTGTGGTGCTGCCTGAAGGACTGCCATGGAAACAAGGAGTGTGACAGGCTCTGGGGGGATCCGCCACAGCTGCAGGCACTTCCTTTTTGACAGCCTGATGAAGACATCACTGCCACACCATGCACAACAACAACTACTACTGGAGAAAGAATATGATCAGACAATGTTAACTGCTGTGTGGCTGAAATGTTCATTAGCAGGCTTGTAAAACATCCAGGGATTTTCCCCACCGCATTCAGGGACCATATTGCACAGTGACTTCCTCTGCAAATATCTGCAACTGTCCCAGGAGAAAATATACTGATAAATAATTCCTTAAATATGATTACAACACTTTGAAGAGGGGCTTAGGTGTGTTTGTGTGTGCGTGCCATATGTGCATATAAGTAGAGAGCATGAGTGCGCACCGGTGCATGCAAAGTAGAATCAACAATTGTTGAATCCCTGTCAGACTGTTCGGTATGATCCACTGAATATGAATGATACGGGGTACATCCAAGTCCACAACCTCAGTGCCACAGATTCAAAGATTTGACAGCTTGGAGGCAGGCAACCATAGTCCCTTAGGACCTCTCGTAACTGGAAGAATTTATCTTTATAATAATATATATGTCAAATGACACATCATTTCAACTAAGTGCTATTAACCAAAGCGATGACTTTAGATAAACTGTGTTGTTTTTGGCCCCATATATGTCACATTCTTATTTTCACTTGTTCTGTCAGATATTTAGATGAAATCCGGTTGTTTGCTGTAATGTCTCTTAAAAGTACCCTGGGAGTGTTGCTTAATTGGTTTCACCTCTTGGGGACGTTTCATCGGGTTTTGCATTGGATCTGCTTGTAACCCCCCCTTACACACCTCCCCGCGATGCCCTCCTCTCAGCACAGCCAAAACCAGCTTCCCCCCCCCCCCCCCCAAACACCCCCCCACCCAAACACACCCAAGCCCCAGTGGAGCCAAGAATGTAGGAGGGTTTCAGCCAGTGTGTGGGATTTAGCTCGTCAGAAGCTCAGGGTCACCTCCACACCCTCTCACTTTGAAATGGACCCCTGGTGGCAGCTCCTGGGAGAGCCCAGTGATGTCTCTATCAGCCTGTCAAAAGAGATAGCCCGGGGCTCCACCAGGTCCCCCTGAGCCAATCAAACTCTTCACAAAGCACAGATGGATGCTCTTTCACCAGCGTGCTACTCCTGAGGAGGAGGGGTGGGAGGGAGGGAGGGGACCCGGCCGTGATGCTCAGTCCCCCAATTGGTTAGAACAA